AGCAAAGTAATTTAAAAATAAAGAATGAACTGACCCCTTAGGCAAGTAAATGTTGAAAATGGCCACCATGACTCTCCATGCAATAATAAAGATTTTGCTTTTTTTTTTTTTAAAGATTTTGCTCAAAACGTTGCCGCACATTTAGCAATATTTGGTGCAATCATCAAGTGGCTTCACGATGTAATGCTGTAATGTTTTTTTAAATAATTTTTAATCTGTTTTTAACTTGTTCTTGTCATATTTTATATAATTTTGACCATTGTACAATCTATCCAGCTCTCACCATGTTACTGGACGTTTCCCTCATCCTATACGTAAACAACAATTAGCAACATCCTCACATACTACTCTCCTAATGATGATGGCAAAGTCCATTGAAAGCTAGAGAGAATTAAAAAAGGTATAAAGAGTCCTCTTTGCTTAAATTTTGTCGAAGTACCCAACAAAAGGCGGAAGCTTTAATTTTATATATATATATATATATATACAGGTCTATCCACGATACAGTTGTTTTCTCAAAACATGCTAATCTAAAGAGCCTAATGACTTCTTGGGATGGTGGATATCATAGTACATTGTGTGTGCCAACTGATAATCAGGAATAAAAAGGGGTATAGGTAGGGTAGGTATATGCCTGCTGTGCGGGAGGTTTTTTTCAGATAACGGTTAATATGTTTTTTAAATGTCTTAGCATAGTGATATTATACACTTATGAGTTTCGTGTAAACAACAATTTGGATAATGTAGGTATTCAGGGTTAGCTAAGTTATACAGGCTGTTCACCACGGATTGATCGAAAATCACTGATTAAAGGAAAAAACGCCGAGACACTTCAAAAAACTTGTCAAGAGGGACAACTTTAAAAAAAAAACTGATTAACCCTCTTTCACCCTCTGCTGCCTAGATCATCCCCTTAAAAATTTTAAATGACGAGGGGTATCGAGCAATAACTTGTTTGAAAGGTCTTTCAAAGCCTATTTTTACTTTTGATTCGGTCGATTCGTTTTCAAGAAAATGAGAAAAATCTTTATTCAATTTGTTCAGATAGAAAACAAAAACACACGAAAATATTACTTTTTGTTTCAATAAGTGTTCAAAAGTTGGCCGCCAGGGGCCATACAATGATATAGGCGATGTTCAAGTTCCTGACGGACATTTTCAAAAACATGTGCGTTGACGAAGTTCATCCAAACTTTTAGATTGGGGAGTAAACACAATAGATTTCAAATGGCCACATAGAAAAAAGTCTAATGGTGTCAAACCAGGAGATCTAGCAGGCCATTCTATAGGCTCTCTTGGTCCTATTCATTTATCTGGAAACTCGTCGTCTAGCCATTGCCGGTACGGAAGTTCGAGGAGTGAGGAGCTTCGTCTTGCTGGAAACATATTTCAGCCTCATCAAGTATAGGGTTTCCATCCTCCTCGATTAGGTTTTCAATGGTTTCAGTGATAAGCGGATTGATGGTATTTTCCAACATATCCAAATAAATGTCTCCGTTCAAATTTCCATTTATAAACAATGGCCCAATTACTTTGTTTCCTAAAATGCCTGCCCATACATTATTTTTTTTTTGGGCGTTACTGGGTATGCCCTCCTACAAAAGCATGAGGATTTTCATTGCTCGAATACCTGCAGTTATGATAGATAAAATCTACATTCATCACTGAAGCAGATATTCTTTACATGAATGGTATCATCATTAATCACTGCAGTCATTTGTTCGCAAACCTCAACTCGCCTATCGAAATCATCTTTGGTTAACTCTTGCAATATTTTCATTTTGAATGGATGGAATTTATGGACTAGTAACTGTGTGTACAGAGCCTAATGAAATACCAGTTTGCAGCAACAATTTTGCGTAATGAGGTATTAGAATTTATTCCAAACTCCATCCAAAACTCAACAAAACATACCTGTGCGAAGTTATCTTCCTCGGATGTCTGGCGTTAAATGTGACGGCAGTTTACTGAGCACATTGTTTTTGGGCACAATAAATTATAATCATTTCCACTCTTTTGGCTAGTGTGTAAACCATTTTAGCAGTAAAATATGAATCAATAAATTAATTTTCACGATCCCAAGATTGTCACAAAGGTAACTCACAGCAAATTGAATTATTTCTTTCCCTTAGCAATAAATAACTAAATAGGTAACACAATAAATACAGTTCGTCCAGGATATCTGTGTTGATGAAAAGAATGCGGAAAAAATTCGGGTTGTTATTTGGTTGTTGCCACGTCTTATCTTCCGTATTGCTGTTTATGTTGGTAGTTTCCGTTTTAAATTATAAACGAATTGTAGGTTTGGCAATCCTAACGGGCAACATTTTGAACACTTATTGAAAAAAGTGATATTTTCGTATTTTAGAAAACCAAACTTCAAAATAAAAGACTTTGATAGACCTTTTAATTAAGCTATTACTCGATACCCCTTGTCATTTAAAATTTTTAAAGGGATGACGCTGGGGGGCAGGTGGTGAAAGGGGGTGAAGTAGTTAAAAAGTGTCTCGGCGTTTTTTCTTTTAATCAGTGGTTTTCGATAAATCCGTGGTGGGAAGTTTTCAAATCAACACCCTGTATGTAGACATAAAATGCTTTAAAAAGACGCAACAAGAGATTGCATCAAAAAGAGGTTACAAAGGCTGAATAACACTGGTTCTACTTAGTGCTGTACTATTATACTCAATTATACATGGTATGAATCGTTTAGTTAGAATGCGTTTATACAAAGACGCTACATTGTTTCCTGAAGCAATTCGTAAAACTAGTTCCTGTATTCTTCCTATGAGGTCATAGCTAACATGCACTTAGTCATGTTCGCCTTTCTCTCTCTATGAGAGAGTACTTTATTTTGTTAGCAATACTGCCTTGCATAATATGCTCTTCCAAGTAGTTTTCCAGATGTCATTTAGTCATTATAACTAGGAGCTCAGTCATTCGAAGAATATCTGTAGATTGGAGTACCACGCATTTTTTGTAATTCCCTTAGTAGTTATTCTAGAGTAATATAGTTGCTAGGTCGACGCTTTTCAAAGGGAGAATGCATTTATTCCTTCCTGATCGAAACAACAGAAAATGGCGTCAAGTAGGTTGACTCTGCACTTCCCATGCAAGGATCGATTTGGGTGGTTTTTGGTCATATTATTTTTGGGTAAAAACCCAGATAAACACTTCAATCTTTACCAACAATATTAAGTGAATTTTACCCTAAACAGACCAATTCCAACCCCCAGTTTTTCTTCAACCCTGGATATGTTTTTTTTGTAGCACGTTCCTAACGAGATTTATCGCTTTCAAACTTATATTTGCTTAATAAATCACAACACTAATTTGTTGTTAAGTGAACAGTCACTCTGATTGGAAATTAGCCTCTTCAGGGATAGAGATTATAGTTCGACATTAATCGTATGCGAGTGGCGCAATACTCTACACTATTTTGGTTGTGTCTACTAGGATATCTTCGATTTTTTGAAGTTGTTGATTTCGGTTGGACACTCCATGTATTTATTTATACCATCTAGTCAAACAAGTATTGGCGCACCCTGTTTATTTCTTGAATCTCAAAAACGGAAAGATGATTTTTCTTATATTAAATTTATTTGAAAACACACAAATAGCCATTTTCGGTCGCAATAGATTGAGCAAATTAAAAATTTAAGAATATTAACGGGAATTATGAAATTTAAGGGTAAAAAAATATTGGTACACTAAAAAACAAACAAGTTAATAAGTGATATCCTTGAATATCAATCCATTAAACACATGCGGTACTTTGCCCGAAAAAATTAAATTTCTTTTAAATTGATGCAAATGGTTATGATAACAAAGTAGTAGCTGTAAATACATTTTGTTAAAACTTATTTACTTTTTTTTTAGTGTGTTTATAATTCATACGTATTATTCTTCTTATATTATTCTTAATTTGCTCAATCTATTGCCATCAAAAATTACTATTTAGATACTAGCTCCCAAATAAATGTAGTAGCTTTAAATTCATCTTTTCATTATTCAGATTCAAGAAAAAAAATGGGGTACATCCCACGGCATACAGAAATTCACACTTTTTGACAGCTCTTCTTTTTTGCTGCTTCATTTAGGATTAGATCAATTTATACACCTATAACAGGCGGCAAAACTAGGAAAATTGGAACCGCGATTTTCTCAAAAAATATACGTGTTTTTTTTTTTTCGTAGCTCAGTTCTAGTTTTTAAGGAGAAACTATCGCAGGTTTGTGGTATTACCTAAACACGACACATAATCACTCAAAAGAGGCTTTTTGGGGGAAAATCTGAACACCCGGACCACATTATCCATATTTTCCAATGGAGAAATAATGACCCACTTCCTCGTTGAAAATACTCTCGATGTACGCCACATGATACCGATAAAAAAACTGATCGTGTGAAAAGCGTAACATATGACCCAGATATTTCTGTATAAACGGGTTTTTGTGCTGTTAACAACGGTATAAAAACGATACGATAATCATTCGGTGTTTCCTTTGTATGGTAAAAGAATGAACGAAGTTTGGTTGAGGCATTGGACCTACGCAATATGAAAACGTGGATTGCTTCCGCTCTATCAGAATCTTTTGTTCCATTATTCAAAGGAGGCGTACACCTCGCATTCCTGGGGGAATTTGCCTACCCATACCGGACCAAGCTTTTTTTAGATCTCTGAATCAATTCTAACAAGAAAAAGACGACAATTATATAGACTCTACCCTTTCATTCTGTTCGAAACTAGTCTAACTTCATCTGTATAAAGTGGCATCAGAAGACGTAAGTTTTGTCCAGCAATGCATTATTGGGCGTTTCATGGAAAAATACACAGATTCCAGCAATGCGCGTGTCCAATGTTGATTTATAATAGCTCCTGATACATACTTCGAATCCTGGAATAACCAATAAGCCCACTAGTTGAACACTAATTTTTGTTGCAATTCTGCATAACTGCCTGTGAACATTACCCCCGAAATCAGGAAACTTCAATAAATCACATTCGATGCATATCTGGAAAATATCGCGGCCACTTCGTTATGGCCGTGTATGTTCATCGTCGGTTGATTCATATTTTTTTTCTGGTCTGCTGAAGGTTAGCGGCAGGTAGGATTGTTGTTCATGGAACCTCATTTTAGAGCCAAGATTGACATACAATAAATGTGTATATTTAATATGTGCGTAGTATTACCGGTATTAGTAGCTTCTCAATAATGAAACGTTTTACACTGATACCAAGGGACGTACCACCCCTTCCAGCCTGAACCCTAAAAAAGGAATTCCAAAAAAGATCAGAAGGTTCTGACACGTCAAAAAAACGAAATTTGAAAACTTTTTTCGCTCCTAGCTTCGCCGCCACTGAGCCGATATAAAAAACTATTGAGCTTTTTCGTACTTGACCTTTTATCAAAATGTCATATAACATCCAAAAAATATTTTCCAATTTTTCCCAATGACTATAGAGGAAGTGCAGCACATTTGGAATACTTAGTTATCTAAATAAATGCAAACGCTATCTGTATTTTTTGCCGTGAATATACTGTCGTCAATTACACAAAACCACAAGTACTCAAAACTGGACGCCATCTTGACATTTCCTGCTACCAGCCACACGAAACTTTTTTTACTATGATACGTAAAATGTTCATTGCAATTATTTGAACTGTAATGTGTCCTTTTAAGTTTACAATTTTATATTGATTTTG